AATTATGTGATGATGACACATAGTAAGATTATATTATATTTTAAGATATAAATTAAAATAAAATAACTAAAATTCCTCAAATTAAAAAAATGAAGGAAATAATTGTTTATTCTTTTTTTTATGGGTGTGGGTTCATCGTGGCTTATGAATTTTATTAGATAGCTTTGTTAAATTTAGGGTCATCCAAATTTGACTTTGGATTTTTGGCTCTATTTGGTCCAAAATACTTCGCCAGTTGGCATTTTTCTCCAATGAGCCGCCAACAAGATTATTATCTACCCACTGCTTATACGTTATCCAAAAAGCTTGATTTTCTAAAAAAAAAAAAACTTTGCAATTTACGGATAGTGTAAAGTATTTTATTTATTGGTATGATATTATTGGCTATAAAAAGTTTTAAAATTATTTCTGAAGCATGCAGTAAAAAATTACTCGCTCAGTCCATCTTTACTTGTTATGAAACATGCAATAGTGAATATTTATTACAAGCTCGTTGAGTTTTTATCAGAAGAAGAAGAAAATAGAGAGATCATTGTTTTCCCAAATGGCATTGCTTAACATGAATTAGTCAAGTCATAAATTTAAAAAATCAAACTTTACACCTTGAAGTTGACGTTGCGTTGTGGAATTTTTGTATTCTAGATGTTGATATTCTTCTTTCAAATACAAGGGTCTCCGATTATGGGAAGCATCCTATTCTATTTAGTATTTACCCTTCCAAAACAAAGTCTCCAATTGTGGAAACATCATTTTCTTTTTTGACCATTTCATCAAGACTAAAAAGATAGGATGACTAAATTAGGATAGGGACACACATGGTAGTTATTGTGTAACAGAGACTATAAATTTATAATAAGATAAATGATTTATGTATTGTAGAAGAATATGGTCACAGCAAACACAATAATTGAGCTATCATAAGCATGTGATTTGATAATTTAACAAGAATAATCTATATCTGTACAGACAAACCTTGCTGTTAAGAAGGATCAATCCAAATAAACATTCATTTTAGTGGCTTACCACTATCTCTTCTTTTTTAAAGGTAAACTATGGTATCAAGAAACCAAAAGGAAATTTCTTCCCAATCATTTTGTCCACTGTTTGAAAAAAATCAACTAAAATTTGTCTAATTGGAAAGGACAATGGAGAATTATGTAGCTTGCACTTTAGTTTCAGGAACTTTCTTCATGAAGTCCAGCCGGGCTTGTTTGGTTTGTTTAGGAGCTACAAGAATAAACACAATTCCCATCAGCACATAAGCTAATGTAACTCCTAAATGGTCTGGGAACTCCTAGTTAATGGATGAAGTATTCGTTTATTTTACCTTTTTGGCTGCTTTGGTTTTTTGATGCAAGGACAGTAGATTTCCATTCCTCGTAAGCATGTTCATCCATGCGTTTACGCTTCTTGTAAGCTGATGACTGCAAAATGGAAGGTTTCAAAAATCAGCAAGAAACGACACAAACTGAGATGTAACTTGTAAGAACTTTAATTGAGTATAGAACTCCAGCACAAAGATTTGTGGAGATTATAACTTGCATTCAATGACGGTTTAGTCCAAGATAAGCCAGTAACCAGTCAAACTCATCGTCTTTTTTTTTCTAATCTAGGAGTTCAAATAAGCATCAATGTGGCTTGCCATATGTCCTCAACAGTAGTAGGGTTGTTTCCTACCATATCTATGCATAACATATAAACAAACAGGTCCTTACATCTGAGTTGAGAGCTTCTGTGTTCCTTATTTATGTTAATTAGTGTTATGGCATCATTAACTAGTAGCAAAATTTAAAAGAGAGCTTCTCATTTACATTATCATCCTCGGATGAATAGCCACCATCTTCAACCCTCCTTTTTTCAGGTAATGCATCTAGCAGTTCTGCATATGCAAATCACTATGTTAAATATGTGTATTGAAAAGCACTAAACCTCATTTTGCTTGTAATAAAGTGAGGAACTTAATTAATCAGCATGTGTTACCTCGGTTCCCCTTCACTGTCTTGGGATCCTTTTTCTCCTTTGATGTCCCAAAAACATCGAAACAAAGATCATTCATTGAGGTAGAAACCTGTATCATTTCAATCCACATAAAAATATTAGAACCATAGTATAGCAAACTGATAGCTTAAGTAAATAAACAATTTGATGATAAAAACAATGAAAAGAAACAAGTAATCAAAGGAGTAAAGGCCTTACATTAGCAAATTCAGGTTCTGATGTGCCACAAAGTTCAATGAGCTTCATTTTATCAACCTTGAGCTGCAAACACAGATGAAGAAAACTATGAGACAGTTCATTCCAATTTATCATGCTGCTACAACTAGTGCAGGACTACCAATGCTTGAAGAGTATATTGAAGAAACCTTGTGTCTTTTTGCGCACAGGTAGAACGCAGCAGCAGTGAACACAGGTCGACTGAAATCAGCACTTGCCCTTCTAGAAGGTGGCAAGGATGTACGAAACCGATCTTTGTATCTGTAAAGGAATTATAATCATCAAAACCTAATTAAGAACTCTCTAACTATTTATATAACCCCATCTAAACTAGAAACTCTAGCATGCTGAAATTCAGAAAGAACAGGCACAGATAGGTCCCAACATGCCAAACCAAATCCCATAAAAAACAATACAAAAGCAGCTTATTCTTGTCCAATTAGGCTCTCAAACATAAGATCAAACAAACATCATAGGCAGGACAATCAAAACAACAAAATATGTAAGTTCATGAGTTCAAAGTAGATGATCAAACTTACAATGATAGACCTTTTTGAACAAAAGGAATGAGCCTGATACACCCAAACTGAATTGCCAATTCTCTAATATCAAGCTTGTTTCTGCAAAGTAAAAAAGAACTTTTCACATCAGCAAGAATCCAACATCTAACAAAGCACCATTTGCCTCCAAAAAGGCATGTACAGATTCACAAAAATGAAAATGTAGAGTGAAACAAAAGCTTAAAAACTCACTTTACTCCAATTCCATTCTGCATTGAAGTGAATGATCTGTTATAAGCCTTCTCCGACATCCCACTCAATTTTATCGCTGTCTGACGATCAAACACTACATCCATCCTACATTTATCACCAGAACATATTACAAATCATAGACAAGTGTCACTCACATCTTACAGCGGCATCAGTACTTCAAATAATTTTGTCTGGATCATTTCTAATAGGAGTACATTCTATTATTTTGATGTAAAACTATAAGTAGACCTATGACTTGGACTATATAAAAAAGGGCAGCCCAATGCACTAAACCTCCAGCTATTACACTACATTTCTACAAGAGGCCATTTCTCCATTTGCAATTATTTAGTACATAAATGAAACAAATATCAAATATAACAAAATCTATATAACCCAGTTACTTGATTAATCAGTACTACAAATTGACATTCAAATCAACCCATTTAATAACCCGACTCTGCACACGCCCAATTTCTATCTATCCAAAAATGAAATAGCAGATTCATATAACAAACCCCCAACAAATTTGGAATACCCATAGTCGACTGATCGTTTTACTTCAACCCTAATTCACCTTGGAACAGAATTCACCCAAACAATCGGAGAAGAAAAACAGAAATTGTACCTACAAGCAGCAATCTCTAAACAAATTATAGCTTTGCAGATCTCCCCCTACAAAAAAAAAAAATCAATCCAAATTCAATTCCATCCAATTCTAATCAAATAAACCTCAATTCCCAGCAACCAATCCATCATATCATTACTTACGACGCCAATGACGGAGGAATCGAACTGTACATCGGCGAGTCGACGGAGCTCGGCGGCTTTGCGAACCAGATGTTTGGTTTCGGTGAGACCAAGCTTTCGGGCGATGTCGGAAAGATCCATTTAATTTCGGGTTTGGGTGATGAAGAGGAAATGGAGAATTTTTCGGGTCGCATTTTGGAGGGTTTAAGGGAAGAAGAAGAAGAGATGGCGGGAATGTTGAATTGCTTGTGTTTCGCTAAATTTCATTTGGCGCGCGCGGGGTGAAGATATGCACAATCTTCATTTCGCGCCAACGGTTATTTTTACTGTGGTAAAAAGGAATATGTGGAAAAGTTAAAAGCAAGGTGTGCGTTCAATTTTTCGTTTTGATTTTACATTGATCGATTTTAATTTGATTTGATTCAATTTTTTTCTTTTTATCTAATTAACTTAATCAAATAGAATAGTTATATTTGTAAGTTGAAAAGGAGTAAAACCTATACATAGAAAAAAGTAATAATATTAAATTTCTTAAATATATATTTTCTAATATAAGTCATGAGTAAAACTTTCAAACACAATACTTAAAAGTTATCAATCCATGTCTAAATATAAAATCTAAAAATTAAATCATAATCAATAAAAAGAGGCGATAACTAAAACAAGTTGAAAGAAGTAAACTCAAACTCCATCTCTTTAACCTAAATTATATTTTAAAGAAATATTTACATAAATATTACGTAATTTGATTTCCTCAATCTTTCGTTTCTTGGCAAGTGTCATAAAAATAATATGAGCTCATTTACATTATCGATCACAATTCACAAGTCCGGATAAAGGAGAAGGGTAGCAATCTCCCCTCTACACCATAAAAGTGAGACGACATACATCTCAACTTCCCCAAAACTCACTTGTAAAATTACACTAGACTTGTTGTTATCGGTACAAACAAATAGCACTGACTGTAATAAAAGTTGAAATACTTGTAGATGAAAATGTTCATTCCAAGTTGAAATATTTGGATCTAGTAAGACATTTGATCACTATAACAACATACCCAACATAGTCCACAGGTGGAGTCTGGGTAGGATGAGGTATACGCAAACCTTACCTCTACCTTGAGGAGGTAGAGAGATTGTTTCCGATAGACCCTTAGCTTGAGAACAGGTTTGAATAGAACTACCCTTAGTCGGGTGACAACTGACAATCAATAACACTGCTAAATCATTTAAACAGGACAGAGATATCTGAAATCATATTCTTAAAGCCAATCTCATATTGTTCCTTCAGCAGTAAAAGCTGCCTTGTATATATAATACTAACCTCCGATACATCACCCGAGTCCTTGACATAACAACCTTTCAGAGGATCATAACCAACCCCGCTACAAGAAACCGAAAAAATATAATAATTCAAAGTACACTTGGGACCTTCCCACTTCTATAGTGCTTGAATACTCTAAGCAACCTGCAGTTTGTCTGATTGATTGTCAGAACTCGTTGCTATCGCAGTATCAAAACAAGCAAGAAAGGAGGATGTCTACGAAGATGTCTCTGTTAATTCTTCATCGAGGCCACTCTCTTGAATCAGCTGTTAACATTCAGAAGAATTTAGATTAGGACAGTTAAAGATATATTTCCTATGACAGAAGAGACTTGACGGATGATAGGCTGCAGTTTGAAATACCAAGGAGCCAGCTCGCTCATATGCTTCCATTGCTTTAGGATCATCCTCGTCTGCATAGCCCACTTGCAATATCCGGGGACCATTCACTGACCAAAATGCTCTTCTGCCTGCTTCCTGCAATCAATTCAAGCATATCATACAGTCGCCTACGGAATCATCCATAGCAGAAGGAAAGCTTCCCCGGACAATAAAATCTGTCGTTTCATAGGACAAACACAGCAGCTAGCAAGTAGAAGGGCTTCGTGAACTACTAATGGTACAATGTATGGCGATCTGACAGATAAGAAGAAATGATCAATTCATACACAAAAGATTTCCTTTAAACTTATATGGATTAAAAACAAAGAGTGCTGTTCTTGGACAACCATCCTCTACAATTGGTCAAAAACTTTTTTTGTGTGTGTGGTTATAGTTTAAGTTCCAAAAAGTGAAGAATGGCTTGATTAAATGGTTTCATTACACAGAAAGATAGCTGCTTTCTATCCACACATCTAAAAGTAAAACACTTTTGAGATAATTAACTATGTAGTGTTAGAGGAGCTACTATTTCAGGTGGCTGGATATAAACTCCGAACTTGAAAAGCTATAATATGTGCTGCTTATTATCACAGCTGTAAGGGTTAAGATAAGCAAACGAAGCACATACAAAGAAACTGTTCAGACTATACCTGTAATATGAGCAAATAAATAGCCTCTAGCGCCTGTACACGAATTTCAGGATCAGTAACGGGTTCTCGTTCAATTGAGAGTGCACTTGCAAGCTCTAGTGGCATTTTCCGAGTGTCTTCCTCACTATAGACCTGTCAGAAGTTGGACCATAAGAAAATACTCAATTCAAATGGAAAGGAATATGGAGAACTGAGACAAGAAAATTAAAGTTTTGACATATTTGTAACAGCGAGCTACAGATAACTGGGAAGGAGACAAAGCAAGAAAGTAAATAATATAGAGCGCCAAAAAGGTAGAAAGAAGATATGTTCCGTCATGGAAGATATTTTAAACTTGATTGAAAATCTAGATCAAGCCTTTTTAGCCTTTACCCAAGCAGCGAACCAAACAGAAATGATTCTCAGCGCCATCTGCGCCTTTATTCCCATTTGAAATTTATTCTCTTTGCTCCTCACTAACTTTGTTTTTCTATTGAATTGGGTCTTCTAAGGCCTTCAGGTTACCAGATTAATGCTTAGCACACTCAGTCAGCAAACCATTCCCTTTTGTGTACATTAAGTAATGACACACACTTATAACAAGAATACACATAGTAACTCTCGGTATACTTGTTGAAAGAAATCTTTGTTGACAGTCCTTGAACAAAGATGGGAGCTTTCCTATTTCATTCAAATAAGAACCATTCACCTTATGGTCAGAATGAATTCTCGATGACAAACAACATTTCTTAGTTTTCGGATTTCACATTATCTGGTTGAACTTATCTATTTCGTCACTTGTTTGAGGTATTTCAATCAGAGAGAAAGAACAATTAAATGACAGATCTCCATCGAGCATAATAATACTGACCTTGAGATGATGGAAAAAATAGTTTTACAGGTCTCTAACAAGTTCTACGAAACAGAAACAAAGAAGTGTGATATGACAGTAAAAAGCAAAGACACATCCATTCTTTCAAGTCCTAATTACAGATAGATTTGAAGTGTACTGCAGAAATAAATGAATTATTGTTGACATCTTCCTTATATAGGTGAAAGTCACCTTATTTCCAGCAACAGGCAGGAGCAGAGCTGGCCATAAGAATTCAGAAATCAGAAGCAAATTTTGCAGCTGATTCTCCGCTTCAAAGCAGCAGTTGCGGATGGTTCCTGCGACCTATATCCAAAATCAGTGCACAATTTTTTCCTCCTAAACTTTTGCTTATCAAATGATTGTAAAAGAAAGTTTTTAAATATACGATAAAGAAGCTGGATCAAGCCAAATTGCTCAGTCTAGAAGGCACTAATTACATATATTAGTGTTCGATGACAGAATTTGAAACATTTCCATTTTTTTTCATTTTGAATTCAAATACTTAATTTTAAAGCAGAAGTCCATATATTCATGAAAATAGCCATCTTGAACTGAAAATATCCTACCACATACCCCTCTCTTTCGCAACAAGCTCTTAGAATCATTCCGGACTATTTGCTTTAGTAGGCATCGTTTTTGATCAAGCAGAAGCTTTCTCCCATCTTCCTTCTTAGAAATGTTGACAAGTATAGAAGCCACATGTTCAAAGGGATCAACTGATCACAAGGGAAAAAGAAATATGTGGTAATAACGACAAAGATAATAGATACTACGGAAAGTTAAGCCAATAATTTCTTGTTTGAGTTAAACATGCATCATGTTGGAGATATATTCAAGTTAGGATGTCTTCACTAACAACTTAAGTTTTCCGATGAGATGGTCAGACATTTCAACACATCGCATGCCAAAAGATACTTTTTATGTACTAGAATCTTGAAATAATATATTTTGCTATGCCTTCAACTTCCCCTAAGCAAGTAAATGTTGAGAAAAAGCTCTGTCATGATTGAAGGTAGAAGCCCAGAACAGAATCCAACTAGCATTATCGTAAAACAGACAGACTTTACACATAATTGCTCATCCACAGTGGAACACTTTCTAACCAAGTCTTGTAGCACCCAAAATTTAGTGAAGTACTTCAATCATAAAAGATTCTTCCTCCCCATAAAGTCTGCTAAGTCTCTTGCTTCTCAATCGAGGATTCACCTTTTCTCATAAAACACAGAAAATCACATGACGCACATCTGGTCAAATTCAATGCTTAGTGGACCAAATTACGGATAGAACTTGTGCTCCAGGTTTCAAGGCTTTTGGGTCAATCCTTTAAGTAGATAAGAAATCCATGAAAAATTACAACACTGATTTGTTGACTTAGATATTTTACCATTCTCAGAAAACAAATTATTGACTAAGATTTGTTATCCATCTTAAGCAGACTAAGGTGAATTTAAGTCGAGTTCTCTAGCTAGGCAATCAATTCAGCTCAAGTAACCAATTTGGAGGGATGATCAGGAAACAAGCACCCTCCAGGTTCTCACTTTCTGTACAAGCTAAGCAGGGGGTGTATCTGAGTTCAGCTGTAATCGTTTCATTTTCGCTCTTTGTTCTAGGGACCAGTTGTCAAGGGCGCGCTCAAGCCCTGAAGTAAGGCTCAAAACGTGTTGAACGCTTCACCTAGCTTAATGTGCGCTTCAATGACGTCATCAAGGTTCTAAGACAAACTTTCCTTGCCAATGAGCCTCTTCTAAAGAGACGACACTAAACAAATGATATTTCACTTTATCATAAAAAAAATTGAATTTCCTTGTTCATATATTTGTCGTTCATGCTTATAATTATTAGTCTTGGACAAAACATATATATTTGTATTTTTTTCTCACTTTGTGCATTTTTTCATCACACTTTATTTGCGCTTAAAGACCCAACGGACCTTAGAGCTTTTTTTGTGCTTGATAACAGTGTCAGGGACTAAAGTATCAAAGCACTTAAATGCACAAAACAATCAAACTAGATAAAAGGGAAAAAGAATGATAATTGAACATACCTTTTCCCTCACAGGAGGACGAACAAAATGATCTCACAAGTTTCATGACATATAAGCCATGCATCTTCTCATCTGCAGACTGCCAATCACGGAAAGCAATCAGCATAATAAGCATAAGAAACCAATATTTTTTAATGACACTGTAAAAGAAATCGGTATTCAACTTAGCCATATTAATTGTGGAGAACCAATGACTACAACCTAACAGCAGGTAGAAAGTGTACGAAGTGCTTTAAGATATCTATGGAACTCTTCTTGTTCCTCTAGAGTCTCTCAGTCTTTAAATTTTCTTCAATTTCTGTACAGGCATTTTTTAATTTCTTTCTTCAGCCATTCAATGACCACAGAAGAGGGAAATGCAGAATCAAAACCTAATATTTGCGAAGTTGTCCCATTCTATTTACAAATGGGAAGGTTAAGTGTGGAAACTTTCCTCCATTATTGATCAACTTAAAAAAGATACAAAACACTATTTTGTAATTTATCTAACAGTGTATAAACAAGAATAATGACACATATTAGTAGCTTCAAAGTTAAACTTGCCGTAAACAAGAACTTAAGGAGAGTTGATAAGACCATCAAGAAAATGTGGTGATAATCCCTGCAATTATGTTTTGGTGTTTGTGGACGGAAAGGGATCAAAGATGTTTGGTGGAACCTCAATACTCTCAAAGCCAGATGTTTGCTTAATCTTTTTTGTTGGACGAAGTTAACTTGGCCATTGTTTGGACACACTTTGTTGGCCCCCTAGTTTTAGTTTGATACATTGTAAAGGCCAAAGGGGCTAATAATCTTGCACTTCATTTCTTTTGTAGTTTTGCATCTACTAGTACCTTTTTAATGAAATGCCTTAATTCATAAAAATAAAAATAAAAAAAGAAAGAGGCATTTAAAGCGTTAGTGCAAAAAAAAAAGGATGAGAATTAACCTGAAGCAAAGAATCAATACCAGCATCCAGCTGTGTGAGATTAACAAGGAGCATAATCAGCAGACTTGTGATTTCACAATCTTGCTTGTACAAGGTCTCCATCGATGTCCTAACCATATGCATCTCAACCATCTTACCTGCCAACTCTGGCTTTTGTGACAGATTTACCAGTGCTTGAGCCGCAGGTTCAGAAACCACCTGAATGGTATTTTTGATACAAAAAAAGAAATTAAAAAGGCCTTCTGGAGGCTACTGCATAGTATAAGTATCAATACACGAAAAATATTACATACATGTCAATAAATTGAGTTTGATAAAAGAACTCAGGAAGACAAACCATGGTCATGGTATGAATTAATCAACAATAAATTTCTCAAAGTTTTGGACAATTGGTATGCAACGAAAACAAGGGCTTCACAAGAAAGAAAGTGATACCATATGTGTATCCATCAATTTGGAAAGGTTCATATTTTCAAGAGATCTCATTCAGCTTCGTCTTGTTCTAGCTCATAACGTTATGCTAGGAATGATTTTTTTTTAAAAAAAGGTTTTGTGCACAGTAATTTTTTGGCATAAAGTCTTTCTAAAAAATATTGTAATAAAGTGTTTGCGAAAATTAAGTTAATTTTGCATAGTGAACCTCGGTACTATAACATAATGCTTGTTTCTTATCTTTTCAAAAGTCATATTTAAAACACCATTTCTATAGCAGTGAGTTGGTGTTTGCACAGTGAACTTTGGTGTTTTCAAAAGTCTTTATTTTTTCTTCAAAAAAAGGGAAAAAGAGAAGTTTCTAAATCATTGCTCTATCACCATGTTAGGATATGGATGGTTATGCATAGTGTACACAACTATCAATATTAACAACAGCAGTTCAAGTTTACACAGATAAGAACCAATCCCTCCTTCCAAATATCAGATCTATTTTGACCTTGGTAAGATTCTTTAAATGTTACAGAAAATATTGCAACATCCAGCCATTGTAACAGTTAAAAAAAATCTTTTTTATTTACGAATTTTCTGTTGTGGGGGGGTTTCCAAAAGTTGAAATGTTACTTATGACTCTGAAGAAAAGGGATAATTTGTTTAACTTTTTTTGTCCCAAGCATCCAACTTTATTGGTGTAATCACACATCTTAGAAGATACTGGTACCTTTTTTTCACCAAGAAGGCGAGACAGAGAGGGAAGCACGACGTTAGAATACTTGCCAAGAGATTCCAAGCCATCCTCAGAACCAGTATAATCACGAACAATATCAACCGCTATTTTTTTCACCTAAAACCATTGTTCATTCAAACATACATACACCAAAAAACTCAACAATACAAGTATTGAATTCAAAGCAATTAGCTGTCACATGAAAAAGGTTGCACATTGAAAAATTCTAACATCTGTTTTTTTTTTGGTGGGGAAACACACTGCTTTTTTAACCTACAGCATTGTTCAACATGCACACTGGACAAATAAAGCCCAAAAGGTTAACCACAATCCAGTTCCACATTAGAAATCTAACAAAAGATTCTTACTTTTTTTGACGGTTACTTTTTTCACCAAAACCATAGCTCAAACATATACCAAGAAGCTCAATAAAACGAAAAAAAACTAAAAGCAAATCATCTCTGACGAGAAAAGTTCACCCACAAGTTAGTTCTTAATCCTAATTTAAAATTTATCCAAAAAGATACTTCCTTTATTTCAAAAAACACTAATCTTTAAACATACATATCCAAAAGTTCAAACCCATTAAATAAAGACGAAAAGGGTTCAAATCCATTACACTCCCATGTTAAACAATTAAGAGACTAAGCTACTTTTTCACCAAAATATCACTCTTCTAACATATATAGTTACAAGAATGACTAGTACTTGACTAAAAACCCAAATCAATTAACTGTAAAACGAAAAGGGTTCGTCCCAATCGGTACTAATTTAATTTTTAAGCAAAGATACTTCCTTTTACATCAATCAATCAAATTGAAGACAAGCGAAAAGGGGAAAAATCAAACAAATTGTACTCAATAACATACAAAAGGATTAAAGGGTATAAGCTTATGATACTCACTGGAGGAGAAGGGGCTGAGAGAAACCCAATCAATTCTTCTAGCTCCGTCGCCATTTGATTTGATACTTTCCTTCTTCACTTGGCGGCAGTTCTTCGCTGCTCTACTGATGGTTAGCTCTGTTTTTCACATTCAGGTTATAAGGGTACGACGTCGTTGCGTTCGGAAGAGCCGTTTGGTCCTTTGTATTATTGCGGCCTAATCCATCGGTGACCCCCCTAAAGTTGACATCAATTTTCACTTAAACATCTCAACTAAGTTTTGTTCGTTTTAGACACCGCATGTCATGTTGTATTGTATCATTTTGACACTTTTTTCACAATCAACAAAAAATTTAAAGGTAGTGTAACTCACTGGCCGATGAGTCGATGACGTGTCAAAGTACCAAATTAAATGAAAACATTTGTCATTTGACACCAAAACAATTCTTTAACAATGAATTTTGAATAAAACTAAAAATTAGCCAATGAATCAACGACACTTGGCATTTTTCTCCAAATAATTATTAAAGAGGATTAAATTATTTTTAAATTACTTTGCAGAACTCCCCCACCCACCCACCCCCGACCCTAGTCGTCTTCTCCAGCAAATTAAACCCAACCCCCTTCGTCTTCTCCTCCGACCGTCGTATCTCAATGCTTTTTAGTATTATTAGTAGGAGGATTCCATTATACACTAACAAAATGGTCATTTTCTCAACTTCTAAACTAAGGACTGCCATTTTAATGAAGAATTGAGATAGTAATTAAGGCCAAATATCACACAATCAATGGTCAAATCTACAACTGCACTTTTTAGAAGCTATGAAGAGTGATAAGCTTAGAAGAATATCAGTAGAAAAAATTGTTAGTGAAGCCGTAATGACGACTTTCAACCACATAATTTGAACTGTCATGATTTAACAATAAAATTCTTCACCAATTTGACCATCAAATCTAATCCACGTAGAGATGTGTTAGTCAACTCTAAAATCACTCTCCACACTTTTCACCATTGAAGGACCTTACGGTAGGAAAAATGGTGGCCAAAAAATAGGAAAGAAGAAGGAAAATTTAAATAAAAATTGGCTAAAGATGCCTTTCACGCACTTTTTATAAGTGCATTACACTCACCATATCATGTCAGCAAAAAGTGTCAAAATGACACAATGGGACCTGACACAAGGTGTCTAAAATGAACAAAGTCTAGTTAAAGTGTTTAAATGAAAAATTGTGTCAACTTTAAGGGGCCACCGATGAGTTCAGCCTATTATTGCCAATGAAACTTCAATTAAGCAAATTGTGTACTATTGGTCCCTAAGTTAACAAAACTAACGAAAGTAGAAAAAAATAATAGAATACTAATGTGAAAACCGAGAGAGGTAAAAGCTTGTCAATTGGATCAAGGATGAGGAAGGTAAGGTGTTGGTGGACGAGACCTCTATTAAGTAAAGGTGGCAAACGAAAAAAAAGGGGACAAAGGCATTGTGTTGTGTGAATTGACGCATTCTGAAAGTTTTCATGAATTTTGAATATTGTAGGTGTTTTAAAGTTGAGGAGGTTAGACGTGATATTAGTAGGATGAGCAGGGGAAGATGATTCATGTCGGGGCGATCAACTACTGAAGCAATATCCATCTTGTGCGGAGACTAGTGGAGAAATATAGGGAAAGAAAGAGGAACTTACACATGATGTGTTTATTGATCTTGGGGTCCATGACAAAGTTCTGAGAGATGTCCTCCGAAGGTGTTTGGAGGCTAAAGATGTTCCGATGGTTTATTTATGGCAATAAGGGACATGTATGATGGATTCAAGACTCGAATTAGAATGGTGAGAGGAGACTCAGAGCACTTCCGTGTTGAGATGGGCTACATCAAAGATCATTTGTATTGGTGATAGATGAGTTGATGTTGTCTATTCAGAATGAGGTGCTATGGTGTATATTATTTGCGGATGACATAGTACTGAGAGATAAGACGCGGGATAGAGTTAATAAGAGGTTGGAGGTTCGGAAACAAACTCTAGAGTCCAAGGGTTCAAATTGAGTAGGATCAAAATGAAATATTTGGAGTGCAAATTCACTAATACGTTGAATAAAACCGACTTGAAAGTGAGACTTGTCACACAGACTATTCCCAAGAGAGAGTTTTAAATATGAGATCATGCATTAATTAGTATAACCACTGTAACAAATTATTAACTATTGTTTCTTAAGGCGTGCAGAGTATAAATGTATAATTCAAAGTAAACATAAGTAAGTCCAAATCTCATTAAGCACAAGCCTACCGACAGTGGATTAAAAGCTCAGATCAGTACTAATGTGAAAACATCTGCAAGATAAAATGCACAACTATTGATTCACATTTCTCTCTCAAGAAAATACGAAATTCAAGACCCATTTTATATTAGTATCTTAAGCAAACAACATTCCGTTTCTGAAATAGTGAAATTTGCATATCCTGAATGTTTAGACGTCAACAACATCTACTTTCAAAAATAGTGGAATGAGTTAATACACACTACAAACTAAGAACATACAAGTCTTAAAATTGATTAGACAGGCACCAACAATGATTAAAATAAGAACACACTACTTGTAAAAAGAGATCTGAATGGTACTATATCTTTTTTAAAAAAATTATGTATTGTCGATAACACATGTAAACGTGATTATTATTATGAATCGACAACGTTAATAATTATCGCAACTAGGCACGATTCAACCGACAGAGGGTTAAACTCATAACACTATTCAAGTGCAATGACGTTTCAATAAAATGATATAAAAGCTAAATTTTAACTTCAAACCTTAAAATATACACATAGGCCGTTCATATTAAGATTAAAACAGGGGAACACATTGGTCTTATACATAACAAATATAAACCACTGATGAACTCAGTCGGTTTGATTGTGGTGGGAGTCTCTGTGCCTTTTTTTTAGGAAGGCTACCGTAAATGGACTATGCTTGCATTAATATGCGCTACTAGATCAGCATTGTTTGCATCTCTATTCTTCGACCATTGTCGGTGGATTATGGAATGGTCAGAATGTTGTGTAGCTTTTCGTTTAAATTATCTTATGATCCAATACATACCTCAGTAGGGAAGTGGGTTAGAAATTTTGTAGCATGTGTTTGTGTTATTTTTCGGAAACATTTAGTTGATATTAGCTCAACTGATGTCTGCCTAAGTCTCAAATTTCTAGTGTCGTTCCACAGCCGCACCCGCTCAGGCATTATCCCGCTGCTCTTCTATCTACCCTCACACGTAATAAAAGACTCCAAACTCTCTTAAACAAGGTGTTCAGTTTACATATTCCCGTTGATGTTACATGTATTGTGTAAATCAAATTCAAACTTTCATGTAGTCTTTTATGTGTTCAATCCGTAATTGTCTAGTTGAAAAATAAAATACACATAGGTAAAAAAAATAAAAATTAATGTGACTTTTTTTTGTTTTTCATAATTGTTATTTTTGGAACTATTATATTTCACAACTATAGGTTACCTACATAAATAATTGTGTTGAATTTAAAATGTAATGGGTGCTTAAGCACCTATAACTTGAATGTAGATCCGTAATTGATATTAAACATGTATTTTAATATATTATCTTGAATATTATTATAAAAATATTATTTATTACTGTAACTTCTAAAATATTTTTGTTAAAAAGTGATCATTTTTCTTTTCATTTTTCAATGTACATTTTATACTCTCTCTTTTTTTTTTTTAAAAAGTTACATTCTATATTATCAAAGAGAAAATAAAATCATAAATTTTACAATTTAAATTTTCTGAGGTCGTAGAATTTGAGGCTACAAAGGACTTTACTACGAAAGCATTTACAAGACAAAATTATTGTGTAAATATTGATGCACATCTCTCATAAAAACAAGAAATTCAATTAACCCACTTTTATTGATGGACATCTGAATTGAAATGAATTGGTAAATTCTCATTTAATGTTCACATTTCTACTATATACTAGATACAAAAGTCCGGGTAAGTCCGGACCAATATATATTACTATATTTGTTGTAATTTATATGATTTTGTTGTTAATTATTTTTATAATATTATAAACGTACTTTTCAAATAATATATGTGATACATGTGATTTTTTGAGAGTTAATCAATTTAAGTACATAATTTTAAAATAATATTTTTCCTATCCCAATTTGTACATGACACATGTGAAATTTCGAGAGTTAATCAATTTTTCAACATGTTTTTAAATACTTTAAGTTGTATTTTATTGTATTCTTAACACAATTTTTAAATAATATATGTTACTCGCGTTATCCCAATTTATGTGGCACATATGAAATTTCTAGAGTTAAATACATTTTAATATGTTTTCTGAGACTTATTTTAGAATACAAATTTGAAAAGCCTTCTTTTCTTTTTCAAACTTATGTATCTAGTCAAATACTGTTACTAAAATTGGAATGAACGTAGTATTAAATTTAAAATTTATATTTCTCATTAATTAGATCAATAATTTACATTTCTCATTAATCCTAATTTAATAATTTACATTTCTCATTAATTATTAATTATAAGAAGTTGGAATAAACAGTAGCAAACAAAGATAATGAAGAAAGTGAAGAATGGCTTTAAGTATTTTTAAAAGGCACAAAAATGTGACTTTATTTACGGAAAAGTACAAAACAACTAAAGTAATAAAATACAATATTAAGGGTAAAATATAAATTGATAAAGTACTGAAGTTGTAGCACTTCAAGGATCCTAAAAAAGCAGCAGAATATGGCTTTATTTACAAAATTGTACAGGATAAGTGAAGTAATAATATAGTATACCAAGGGCAAAAATATAAATCTATTTATATACGTGCGGAAACCACACAGCTGATGCAGACATGTTGACGAGCTGTGTGGTTATCCCGACTTATATATTAGTAGTCGATATATATGTGCTATTTACAAATCACAATGAATGATTTTGTGTAATTTATTGAACCGACAATATTTGACGTTAGGTCTCATGTAAACATGCGATATGATTTTTTTGTAATGACAACTATATTTATTCATCACCTGTGCAAACATTACAAAATCAAAGCAGTTCAAGCTCGACGACTTGTCTCGGTACATCCACATCCCCTCTTATATAGTTTCAATCATTTTCTTCTTTCAAAAGTTACATTTTATCCATCTTTCAAAAGGTACATTCAGAACATCCCCTTAATCTAAAGCGATATGGAATTAGATTTATATGAGGTCAACATTTTGTTTTGATATGTGATTTGAATTTCTATATTATATATTTTATCATAAACTTGAAAATCCACAAGTTTTGAAAATGATTAAAAAAATTCAAATCTTAAACGATCTTACCAAATGAGTAAACCATAGTTTATAAACAAGATGTCTAAATATCCTAAGGTGTTGCATTAATAAACCACATATCTCCATATTCCTAATAAATGTTTGCCACCAACATGGATTGTGGTGCACTGGTGGGAGCAGTGGCGGGGCCAAATTTTTTATCAAGGGTGTTCAGGATTTTTTTTCTTTCTAATAAGTGAGTAAATATTATTTGTTTAACCTAGAAATTCTACAATGAACAATCCCAACATTTGTCGATATAAAAAACAAACAATCGTGTTTTTTTCTTTTTGATGCATTGATTTTATATGATAAAAATATATGATCATTGTATATAAAGTGAAATATTGATTAAACAAATGCGCCTAGCTTTACGAAACATAAATCATACTCTAGCAGAGATTTTTTTTTTCTTAAAAAAAGAAGAAGATAAAACACATGTATCGATTTTAGCTTTGGGTTTAAAGTTGTTAACATATATAAACACAATTTTTAATGAAAAATGTTGGATTTTTTTGTTTTCACCCTTTGACTAAAGTGCATTATATCCTAGACAAAATTAGAAATACATGATATCTAAATATATAAATTTCAAAATTAAAATAACTATTCATATATGTTACTCTATATTATTAAAATTGTAATATTAATAATTAAGCAACTTGAGGAACATTTAAGAATTTCAAGTAAATTAAAATTAATAAATGTATGATGCAAGAATAATGGTGTTTTAAGATTGTGTTCTGCTCTCCAAATAAAATCAAAAAAAAGTTGTGCACTTACCCGCAAAGTCCGGGCAGAAATGAGCAAGCTCAACCACTGCGCCAAAGGGAGATTTTACATAAAAAATGTTCAACATCAATTATTTATCCCTTAAACTCAAAATTTGGCCTTTGTATATAATGCAATTTTTCGGCGAAGGGTGTTCAGCTGACCACCCTTGAGTGGTTGTAGCTCCTCCCCTGGATGGGAGTGTTTCACCCTTAACCAGATGTCTTGTGTTCCAGTCCTAGTATGGAGAAAATCCTGTTGAGAGCGGTCAAGCGCCATCCCCGAATGGGCCCTACAGTGCCCAATCCAAATTTAGTTGGAGCTCCAATGCGGGCTTCGAATGAGAAATAAAAAAAATATTTACAATTACAAACTTTCAAATACACACAATTTCATAAATATACACTAGTCAACAATAGTATAAAGCCAAGTTTTACATCTTAAAAAAAATTAAAAGATTCGAACGATGATTTGAAGTCATAAATTGCTCTTCCGAACGCATGCAAGTATTTTACCATAATATCTATATTAAATTTAGAAAATAAGCAGTTAATTCTGAATACAAAAATATGAACAAACATATTTTTTTCTCACTCCATCATAAATAACAAGTAAAAGAGTATTTTTAGTATACTGAATAAATAAATAAAAAATAAAATATATTTTTTCACATTGAATAAGTAAAAATGGATATTTATTTTTAATATATTTAAGACACTATAAACTAAATTTAGACTATAGCCAACAGTGGTGAAAGTAAGAACAGCTCAGGTGAAAAAGGGATCTGAAACACAAAATCAATATACAAATGCCGATGCAGATTTCTTTTGTGAAAATCGGTAATTTCTTGTTTAATATACGCATTTCTACAATGTATTTGTTGTCTACGATGAATGATTCTGTGTAGTTATTGATTTTTTTTTTAAAAATTGTATCAATTTTGATTTGGGCAGATGAGGAGTTTGATGTTTAAGGGTTTTGGAGGGATGTTGTGATGGCTCTGTATAAGAACAATACTGAACTCTTCCAAGTGAGAAGAGGCATAACTGGGTTTGTTTACAAGTTTTTGGATAAAATCAAGAACTGTTTTAGAAGCTGTGGAAGAGGAGGGAAGTTCAGTCTTTTTACAAATAGGGGATTGCTGTTTTGTGTATTTGTACTTGCTGTGCTCTGCTTGATTTCATTGGCGGCTTTTGGCTTAGGAATGCACTTCCATGGTGAGAAACAAAACTAGTTTCAATTTCATTATTATCATATTTGTAGTTATTAAACTGATGGTTCTTGCATTTTGTCTTTTTTAAATGAGGTAAGTAATAAATTTTAGTAATATTAGGGCAAATGTGGGATATGTTTTGATATGCTTTTCCTTAAGCCGAGTTAGTTCCTAAGGTATGGAATTAGGTTTTGGTACATTCTACTCTCCCCAGACCCGTGTGGGATTACATTGAGTATGTTGTTGTATTGGGGCGAAAAAGCGTCTGGAGGCAAGAAGTATACCAAAAATCTATGTTGCTCGGACTTTTCAAACAGATCATTGGGCGTGTTGATTGTTGCATCATCCAAAAGTTATGCATTTTTGCAGAATCAGGCACGACGCAGCTTCGTATTACCGAGGACATGACTCTAGATAGGAAGGAGTAGAAGTCGCATGCTTTCCATCTTGGGCGTCTTTTTTTCTTGACCAAACTTGAGCTGTAAAGCTTTAAACTTGTCCGTGCTGTATCCTCTAGCGCGTTAGATGTTATAATTCTTTCATTTATGATTTTAAATGTTAGTAAGTAATAAGTGGTATCTGCAAGCAATTGCTACTCTTTCTAGGAGTTTTATACTTGTAGATGAGCATACTACTGCGAGTATCTTATGGGCAGTCGGTGTCTCTTTGGCTGCTTTAATATCCTAACCACTAGTTGAAGGATAACAAATCTTTTTTAGTCATACGAGCTTCTCATATTTTGAGTTCATAAAAATTTGGCAACTTTTTTCTAAGTTTAGATGTTACATGTTTTCCCATTGTTCTTTGCAGGTAAATTGGAACCCAACATGTTGCCTTGGAGAGAAATGCGAAAAGATGTTATTGCGCATGATGTCCCTGACCGCCCAACAAAGAAACCCCGTAGGCAGCGTAAGTCTTGCTTTTACTATCCTTGTGTATACTTTTATCTGAGTTTACACAAGCAGGAAACTATAAGGTTGAGAAAGCTTAGGTAGGTTGATTATAGTATGAACAATCTTCCTTTTCCATCTTACTGCAGCGAAATGGCCTCGTTTGGAGAAAACTGGCGAGTAGTAAATCCAAATTGCATTATAGTCATAGCACACAATTTTAAAGAAACATGAGTTTTGTATTCCTCAAAAGAATATATTAAAGAAACAAAAGTTTCTTTTAGAAAAGGTTCCATGAAAAATACAATTAGGTTGATAATGAAGATAAGTATGCTTTCGATAAGCTTCATCTTTGTAGCACATATGGCCTGCTAAGCAAGATTACTTAATCATCTGTCATGTATTTTATCAAAGAATTTTGTGGTCTATCCCTTTGTTGACATCTCTTGGTAAAATGCTGTATACAAACTAGGAAGTTGAAGGGACTATTTCCAGAGTAAGCAGAAAATATTGAAAATCTGCAAATCTTCATTTCGTTTCTATTTGATTTTCAGGTTTTTTTCCCTGTGAGGTAGCATTTAAGGATTCCGTCGATTTGCTTAGTGAACCGAAGGACTTTTTGAATTTCACCCATTTTTCCTTGGGATATATGGAAACAGAAAAGAAAGCTTCCCATATTGATGCTCATGAACCCAGATTTGGTGGACATCAGACCCTTGAAGAAAGAGAACAATCATTTTTTGCTGTAAATCAAACAGTTCATTGTGGTTTTGTGAGGGGAGCTGAAGGGTTCCCAAGTACTGGATTTGATTTGAAAGAGGAGGATAGAAAATACATGAGTGCGTGCAGAGTGGTCGTATCATCATGTATATTTGGAAGCTCTGATTTTTTAAGAAGGCCGACAAGCAGATTGGTAATGATTTGGCTTACTTTTTTCTTTATATTTACTTTTCTCTCATGTAATGATGTACGTTGAGTTTTTTTTATTATATCCATTCTGAAGTTCTAAAACACCAGGAAGGGCTGGAAAATTCCTTTTCTCTTCATTCTCATTCTAATGACCTTGCAGTATTCAACTGAGTTTGCTCTCTCTATTCTCAGAAATGGCAGTTGCATAAAAAAACTTGTAAATCAGAAATGTTGAATAGCTCTGTGAAGATGAAAGACTTTCTAAAACATGTATCCCGAATACGACAGTTTTCTATAATAATAAGTGACTCAATTTAGCATTCTACAGATTTGTCAGATGGTATCTTTGGAAAGCCGAAGAGCAGGTTAGGATATAGCAACATGTGCTTACTTTGGATTGATCCTTGCCTTTTCAGATGAGTGAGTACTCAAAGAAGAATGTATGTTTTGTTATGTTTGTTGATGAGGAAACTCTTTCGACACTCTCCAAAGAAGGAAATGCACCTGATGATGGTGGATTTGTTGGTTTGTGGAAATTAGTTGTCGTAAAGAACTTACCGTACACAGATATGCGTAAAACAGGGAAAGTACCAAAGTTTTTGTCACATCGCCTCTTTCCTTCTTCGAGGTGATTATCCATATCCCTATCTGGATTTTATTCTTTATGTATCTTGCTCCAATTGAAGATGAATTTGTTCTCCTATTGTGGCAACTTTTAGGTACTCTATTTGGCTTGATAGCAAACTGCGGCTCGCAACCGATCCAATGTTGATAATTGATCATTTCTTGTGGCAAACTGGCTCTGAGTATGCCATCTCAAATCATTATACTCGGCACTGTGTTTGGGATGAAGTACTCCAAAATAAGCGTCTAAATAAGTACAATCACACTGCTATTGATGAACAGTTTTCATTTTACCAATCTGACGGTCTTACCAAATTTGACCCTTCAGATCCAAATACTCCTCTGCCAAGCTGTATGTGCCACTTAGTGCTTACTATTTATCCTGTTCTCGTTGTCTTCATATGCAGTTTGTTGAACTAATTATGGCTTTTTTGTGTATTGCAGATGTGCCTGAAGGTTCTTTTATTGTTAGAGCACATACACCCATGTCAAATTTGTTCTCTTGCCTCTGGTTCAACGAAGTTGATCGATTTACTTCACGTGACCAGCTAAGCTTCGCATTTACATTCCTAAAACTGAAGAGAATGAATCCAGACAAACCATTCCATTTAAATATGTTTAAGGTAAGGTGTCTTCAGGTCACTTTAATTCTTTTTATTTACAGCTCTTGCAGAAGTCACATACATATGGTTACTGTTGAATCGTCTGCTTGCTCTTGAAAACTAACTGTCTTGCCAGATATGTTTCTGCAGCATTATATCCTACTTCAATATATCTGCTAACTAAGAGAAGCTATTTGTAATTTGACTTTGCAACAGTGTTATCATTTTGAAACGTTAACACCTTTTTTTCAAAAGTAATGGTTGACATGTTATTGAGGTCGGACAACTTGTAGTCACTTGTGCTGCTTTATCTTCCATCAAACCTGAGAACTGAACATGTAACACAATGCTCTCAGTGTCATTATTTTGTTGGAATATTGTATGTGCACACCAACTCTCGGTTTGTGCATGTCATCCTTGCACAGCGGCTGTGCATATCTTCTCTCCAATTTTATTGGATGTCCCTGAAGGAACATTCAACTGAGTTGTTTTGTTTGCTTGAACATAAGTGTTCCACTAATTGCTCCATTGTTCTGCTGAGTTGTGAAGTTCTTATATTGTAACAAAATTGCACCCAAAACTTGGTGTCCTTTACTTGTGTTAAAGCAAGTCTGTGGAACTTCATCATATGTTTGAATGTTTCTGCAGGACTGCGAGCGTAGGTCGCTGGTCAAGTTATTTCATCACAGAGAGCCATCTATTCCACCTCCTCCAAAAATTAGTTGATATTCTGACTTGACTTAGTAAACTGGACCTCTTGCTAGACCCATTGGAACTAACTTTCCGTTTGAAGATGAACTGATGCATTACATTGGCGTCTAGAGATTATACATTTTGAGGCGCGGAGCTATTTTAAGCTCTACTAAATAGGTGATAGAACTTCCGTTGAATATCTTTGGTTTGTCATTTTGGGCCAAGAGTATGGGGCTAACTCATCTGCCTTTGAGCCACCGTCTTCATGTGATCTTGAGGTGTCACTGCTGCTTGAATTATCACAACTGTTGAACGTTTTCTGAGACTTCTTGTGGGTTCAGCACCAAATGAGTTCTGCAGTAGTTTGCATACATCATCTCATCTGATATACTTGTACAATCTAGATTGGGTACGCGTTTTGTACATTGAATATAGTATCTTCTCTTTTGCAGCTAGCATTGATGAAGTTGGTCATTTCTACAACATAGAGAGCTTTTATTACTATTCATATAGCCGATCCTAACTTGTTTGGGATTGAGGCATAGTTCTTATTACTCACTGCTGAGTTTTCTAACGAATTGCTTTTAGCATTGACAGTACAGTAATATTACAGTCTCATAAGCTCAGCTGTTTTAGTGTAGCGACTTTTCTTCTATTTTTACTATTATCTATTGCTTCTTTTGCAGTGTTCTATCTTGCTCTTTTGCTAACATTATTTTCTTTCCAATACTGCTTTGATTTTTTTTTTTTTTGAGTCGAGGGTTTTATCGAAAACAACTCCACTGACAAAAAACATTTTGTAAGTATAGTAAGTAATTTTTTGTTGCATGTTCAAGAATACTAATGCGAAAGAGAGTGAAAATCATTTTAAGAAAATAATCACTTTCCTCATTTAACGAACTCGTTTTTTTAGATAAAATGTTTTCAAAATTTTTGATCAATCAAAACATACGAAAATTAGAAAATATTTTCCTTCTTTGTATATTTTTTTTCTGCTGACAGTGAAACGTAGTAACTATGGTAATAGTATTTTCTTTTTGCTAATTATAATTATTATTCACTCACCGTTTGTGTAAAAGTGAAATGTCTTATAAAAAGGACATGAAACTTAAAAGAGTTAGAAAATCATTTCTCTTAAAAAAAGATTAACAAATTATATTCTTGTGAAAACAAAAACAATAAATATGGTGGCGAGTGAAAATCAGTGGCGGATCCAGAATTCGATGATCGTGGGTGCTCAATTCTTTTAACAAGCCAAAAAAAAATTATTTCTAGAAGTTTACTACTAATATTTTTATAATTTAATTAATAAATGAAATACAAAAAATAGGAAAGTGGAAAAACAAAAAGAAATATAAGCAAAATTTTGAAAAAGAAGTCAAGAAGTTTCTGTTGGCCGTTTTTCAACAAAAAATTAGGTGTTGTCGCAGGGGCTCGAACCCTCAATGAAGGGCACCAGCACTCCTAGAATCCTACTTCAGAACCACAGCGTCCATGGAACACTTTGTTTAATGGGTGCTGAAACAAACATTATATAACATTTTAAGTATTTTCTATACACATATATAAAGTTTCCGTCGGGGTCAATGGGTGCTCGAGCACCCAAAACTCTACACGTGGGTCCGCCCCTGGTGAAAATACTACTACTCTGTTTCTTTTTTTATTTTTCACAATTTCTATTTTAGAATCAAACGGTATGAACTTTTACCATTTAAGATATATTTTTCCATCATATTTATGAGAAAAATTACAATTTATAGTACATTATGTATAGTTTTCAAATATCTAAATTTCAATCAAATTGACTTTCGAAACGTGAAATTCTGACAATTATTTTGAAATAGAAAGAATATGGAAAAAGAAGGCAAAGTAAACATTTTATGGAAGTTCAAAGGTTTATCTACCTTTTTTTAAATTAACCGCAATGAAATAACAACACCATCAGAGTGGCGCAGCGGAAGCGTGGTGGGCCCATAACCCACAGGTCCCAGGATCGAAATCTGGCTCTGATATAAAAATATGTTCTATATATATATATCTCAGATGCAAGCTTCCAATCTCCACATTTTTTTTTTGCTGTTAATTACTCCCTCCGTCGATCTTTACTTGTCTATTATACTATTTTGAAATGTCTAATAATATTTGTCCAGTTTATGTTGTGTCTATTTTACCCTAGTTATTGAATACTAGTAATATTTATTTTCCAATGTTTAGATGACTTATATTTGATAAGGGTGGTTCGATAAAATGACCATTCTTAATCTGTGTCAAGTCAATAGTGGATAAAAAATTATAATATACATTTTTATAACATGTGAAACTACATTAATAATACATTTTTCTATATCTAGTATTCATTTGAATATATGTATGTGACTTGTAAAATCTACATACTGTTGTAATCTTTTGAGCACTATACAGGACTTTAATGTCATAAATTATTCTTTGATACATCATTTTCATGAAAGATCTTTTATTGTGTTATGTGGAAGTGATGATAGCTGGCTGAGGAATTATTGGATGTAAATGTGAAGTGTCATATATTTTTAGAGTTTTTATTTTTATATCTAACTATTCATGAAGTGTCATTGTTTTGAAAGCAATTATTGAAATAGGGTCATATGTTTCTGATTTTTTAATACAATGTTGCTCTTGCACATAAAGTCGGTAATCTTTATCACCATTCTCTCGATAGCTTCAATAGTTTACTGAAAGCTTTTGACTTAGGCTGACGATCATAAGGTAGGGCGTGGCTCCAATTCTCAATCCTGACCTACACAAGTGGTTCTAGGGATTGAAAATTTTGGAAGTGAACTAATGTTATATATATGTAACTCAATTAGTTAGTGATAACCTTTTCAAGTAATTGTTTGTTTTTTGAAAAAAATGTAAGCAAATTTGGATGATTTATCAAGAGGGTTAAAATTTAAATAGCAAGACAAGGTTGAATACATGGATATTTCCTTAGAGGGATAATAGGAGATGTTGAAGTTAAACCCTTTGCATGCTCACCACGAATATATTTAGAGATAATAATAAATATGAGTAGTTATAATTAATATTTTATATAAATTTTGAAGTTGCAGAAGACTTTAACGACTCTGAATGTAATAACATTAATTCAATTACCGCTAAAAGAAAAATCCTACTGAATGTTTCATTTATTGTAATGACTCTAGCTAAGGTAATGAACATTAAAGATGGATTGATGAAGCCATCCAAATGGAAAACGATGTGCCACATGATATGTATAATAATTAAAAACTAGATATTTGGAAGTCCCCCAATATTAATTTTAATTTTAATTTTAATTCAATTTACATTTACAACTTTATGACTTCTTACAATATACTAATGTTCACAGAAAATCTAAAAGCAGAACTAAATTGAAAACTTAAGGATTATTAGTGTTCATTGTTAAAGAATAAAGGTCATTTAAATCCAAATTCTAAACTTAAGAGACTGTTTTAAACATTTTGTCTCACTTTTAAAAGGGCTTTATAGCAATAGTACTTTGTAATAAGATAAATATGTGAACTTGAATAACTTTATTGAAATAAAAAGAAAAAACCTAAATGATTTTAATTTACTTGTTAAGTTCAATAAATTGTTGTGACCATATGAGGATTTAACTCCTAAATTCTTCGATAATTCTATGATTTTTTAGAGGAAGCTACACTTGTGTGTATAACTTGATTATATGAGTACTTGATTCTATAGTGTTATATTGAAATAGAACCAAACTGATATGTGATTGAAAGTATACTGTTATATATATATGACTATAAAAAATTGACAAAAATTGAAACAATAAAAAATCAACTTAGTTATAATTTGTTTGGTTCCATGTTCCTTAACACTTAAAAATCGATTTAATTGATTTGATTTTCTTCGTAATAAAACCTTAACCATGAAGACCCCTACATGTTTATTTTGCGATATTTTTTCTTAACTAAATTAGTGATTAATCAATCACGCCGCAATTGATTACACTTCAATTTTCCTATAGCCCTCCCCCCCCCCCCCACCCCCACCCCCACACACAAAAGTCTATATCAAATCAATTATAATCAGGACTTATAAATTAAATTATGATAAGACAGTTTATATCAAAATCATATTGGGAGTACGTAATAACGAAAGTGACTTAGGATAATTTAATCTAAGATGCTAACAAACAATAAACAATCTATTACTAATACTATTTAAGATAAAGATTGACATTTAAACACCAAGTGTTTGGATATATTTTGAGTAATATTTGGAAAAAAATAATGATATTTTAAAGTTGAAATGATGTACTTGAAAGTTAAGTTTGTATTTGGACATATATTATAAAAAAATTTGACAAATATTAAAGTTTGTGAGGGAAGATTTTCTTTTACTTGAAGAAAAAAAAAAAATCTAATTTGGAGGAAATTTTTGGCTTTGGCATAAAGTATCACTTAACAACATTAAAAAAAATTATATGTCCAAAATGGCCTCTAATGGAAGTTTGAAAAGGAAACAAGCGATACCTAATTAAGCCAATCACCATCATTAAGGGTGGAGCTAGGGAGAGATTAGGGTTCTATAGCATTTAGTAACTTTATTACGAAATTTACTTAGCTAGGTTTCATTTATTTGTATTAAGATTAAAATATATGAATCTGAATGCACATTTGATTATGATGTTTCTATAGATCTTCTGAACAATGGATGATTATGATTGTTTTTCAATATCTAAACGTTATTATAATTAATTTATTTTTAAATATAATAAATATACCATACAAATAAAAAGTAGTTAAATATTAGAAAAACATATAAATTTAATATAATAAAATCATTTTTAAAAAAAAAACATTTATGTTCACTAGTGATAGAGCGGAGATGCATGGTTTGTAATGCTGAATTGTTGATGATTGGTGCTAGTTCTTAATAATAAATTTGATGATAATTGTGATGACGGAGACCATGGTTGTAATGGTGGAGTTAGTTGAGGTTGGTAGTTGATAATGGTGCTGAAGAACGTGTGAAAGTTGACGATGATGTTAATGATAGTTGTGCTGATGGAGATGATGGGTAGTAGAAATATAAGTTATAACCGCGAAAATTTGATATAATTATAATGATAACTCCTCTCCTCTCTAGTACTTGAACTCTTTATATTTAATTGAACATATATTATTTTTATTTTAGAGATATTTATTTTGCCAATTATATATGTGTACTTTTTGTATGGAAGGGAAAATACAAAAACACTCAAGTAAGTTTTGAGTGCTTGAGGCCGACATTGAATTGTCAGCCTACCCACCAACTTTGCCAGAAGGGGTGGAATTGACACTTCAAATTAAAACCATTTGGAAACAATATCACTTTCAATTTCTACAAACATATTGAAAATCATGCAAACTTAAATTAATTTCCCCACTTGGCAACTAAATTAATTGCCTTCTTTTTTCTATGCCTCTTTCAATGCATAATAC